AAACCTGGAAAAAAGGTAGGGACTCTATTGATTTCAACATGAAACGCCCGAGATGTTAGCCGTCCGGTGAGAATTTATACTTTTTTCACTGACCTCGGGGACTCCATGTCAGAGTTAAATATAAAAGTGGGGACCGAACTATATTCCAATTTTGCTTTTGGGGACTGATGTTTTATTTTTTGGGTATTGGGGACTAAAGTAATTATCCTTTATTTATACTCCGTATTAAAATAACACATACAAAAACTAATAAAATACACTACTTTTTTTTACAGGAATAAAATACACTACTTTAGTTAGCATCAATACATTAGGCATACGGGCATTTCACTCGGCAATTTTTTTTTTTTGCTATTAGTTTTTTTGTCTCTCCTAAGATGTTATAATTTTATGATTATTACAGCTTGGGAATTATATCAAGGAGAAAAACAAAAGTGATAAGTCCATATTTCAACACACATTCAAAACGTGTTGAGATTGGTTTTTGGTCAGTTTTCCTAGTTTAAATGTGTCACAAGGCTCATAATTAACTCAAGTCATGATTTACCGGGTTTTGGTGTATGTTTGGTATTTTGAGAGTCAAAATCGGGGAATTAAACCTGGCACCGTGTCTGCCCTTGGAAATCCTGATTTGGCCTGAGTTTCTCCGTTTTTCTATTTAAATAGCCCGTAAACTCCTGCTTTTTTTGTTACGGAGCTGAGAGAGTAGGGTTGGGCAAAATAGTTTGGTTTGACTGAACCGAACCGAAAATTGGTGGTTTGGTTTGGTTTGGTTTTACTTAAGTAAATCGTTTGGTAGGAATTTGCTCAAACCGAATGGTTTGGTTTGATTTAAAACCGAAAAACCGTAAACCGAATCGAACACCGAACAACTTGTAATACATATATAAATATTTTGTATATTTCTTGACTCTTCATCTTTAGCATATATCATTTTAACTTTTACACATTTCATATATTCATTATGACAAAGTTAGCTAATACGAGATATTTGTATTTGTTATATTTTGCACTCTACCTATACGAAAAGATATTTAGCAATAACAATAACAAATTGCATTTATATTTTCTACATGATTCATTTGAATAAAATTGTGAATATTGTAAGATTTGCACCACTGACTCGTTTAGTTTTCTTTTGAGTAAATACTAATCAACTATAAATTTATTTTTATGAAAAGTGAATCTTTTTCTAGTGATTGAAAAGATGTTAGAAGTTTTAATTTGAGAAAAGGGTCAAATAAGGCTCTCTACTATTATGAAATAGTCACATAAGGTCTTGTACTCAATAAAGTGTCATATAAGTACCTCTACTTGTAAAAAACAATCAAATAAGTCACAACGACCTATTTACAACCTCCTAATCCCGGTTTTAGCTTACATGTAGATTTTTTTGACTTGCATTTCAACCAATCGTAGTTAAATATTCGACGTATGCCATATAATCTATTCTAAAAAGATGGTCAAAAGTACGCTAAAACCGGGATTAAGAGGTGTTAAATAGGTCATTAGGACTCATTTGATTGCTTTTTACAAGTAGAAGTACTTATATGACACTTTATTAAGTACATGACCTTATGTGACTATTTCATAATAGTAGAAGGCCTTATTTGACTCTTTTCTCTTTTAATTTATATGTAGTAATATTTTATTATTTCTTTTTCAATCTTTTATTTCCTCTTACATTTCATTTAAATAAGGAAAAATTCACATGAATAATCCCAACTATTAGTCATCTTCTTATAATAATCCCAAATGTTGATAATATCGTTATAATCCCAATTATAGTGAGTATCTTCTCAAAACAATCCGGTGACCTGTTTAAACCAATTTAGCAGTTCACCTATACACGTGACATATTCTCATTGGTTGTTTTAATTTTCTTCTTTTTCCTTATTTCTTTTTCGTTCCTCTTTTTCTCTTGTCTTGCATGGATCTGAGACGATTTCTGATTTTTCCTTATTTCTTTTTCGTTCCTCTTTTCCTCTTATCTTCCATGGATCCGAGACGATTTCTGATCAGAAATATAATATGAAGAAGGCTGCTAGCAGCGGACTGTTTTTTCCCATGTTCTTCCTTTTTTAAATCTCTCCTTCTTTACCGTGTGTGGCCATGGATACGGAGTGGCTATGTCCAATGATGTTTTTCTCTACAATGTTTTATTCGAAGTAGTATTTATTCAAAAATACTGGGTAACCTAACAGAAGAACAAAGTGAAGAAGAAAGAAAAGCTCTTTAAGAGTGGAGTGAAAGATCCAAAATTTATTATGACCCAGAGAGTATATACTCTCTCCAGGGAGTTTTATCTCGATCAATGGTTTATTAATGGAAGAACTGAGCGAAGAAGAAAGAAAACCTCTTAGAAGAAGCAAAATTGCTCCCCAGCCTTATGCCGCTCCAATCCGACATCACTCTAGGTTTTCCCAGCTTTCTCGACAAACTCTTTCCCGATTTTCTCCCTCTCTTTTCTTCTTCATCGTTAGTGGCTATGGTTACATTGATCTTTTCTTTTGTTTTCTTTTCTTTTCTCCCTCCACCGCATCTAGAAGCTTATCCCCCATTTGATTTAAGTTTTTCATCAATCCATGATAAATTTACATTCCTGGAATTTTGGATAGAATAGATCAGGTCGCAAAGTAGACAGAGGAGAGGGCGAACGCCGAGCTGGAGATGGATCGGAAGACGACTCATGCCGGTGAAAAAGCCTCTATTATTTACTTTTTTACCGGTTTAGCAAGTTCCCAGTAACCTGAGATCAATTTGGGAAGAGAGCCCATAAAGTTAGGATTATTTTTGAATTACCCATAGTTGATATTAATATTGGAAGATGAGTAATAGTTGAGATTATTTATGTGAATTTTTCCTTTAAATAATAAATAAAAGAAGATGAGATGGACTACTACGTTGGGGCGGGAAACCTACCTATATACAAGCTAATTGGGAAAGCCCCCCACCCCCCCGAAATAAGGTGTCAATCTCCTCCTCGAGATCGGAAGTGAGAGAAATAGGTTTGTACTTGCGCACCGAAATACCCCAAGTAAATGTGATGGGGGACAAGGCAGGAGCAGACGCCCCACACCCATTTATTCTTGCACTTCCTAACTGTATCTGGATATTGCTCACACAACTTACGCCGTGGTGACTCACAAAATGATACGAAGCCACAATCATCCGGTTTACAGCTAGGATGATTCCACCGGAAACAGTCACGAAACGGAGGTATGACGGTTGGACAGACTCCCTGTCACATCAAGCAACAAAAGCGACCGTGAACATATGTGCAACAAGAGTCATCTAGATCGGCGATACCCCGAGATGGGTAAAGAGTGCCACAAAAAGGGACACGGTGGCACATGCATGCTCCGCATTATGGACGCAATGTGAGCAGCGAAAAATAATTTTGAAGGTGGATTTGTGAGGTTACTATTGCGGTCCGGAAGAAAAAGAGTGCGGTCACAACTGACTAGACGTTCCACCAACCTCAAGTCTGGTGTTGTACTAGAGGAATGCAAACACTCCCTCCAAGAGTTTGGATCTCCATCACTGTCTGATTGCGCCGACTCACCGTCTGATTTGGATATGAATCTGAATGGGAGACACCATCGAGTTGAAGGGTAGCAGGATTGATAGGCGGTACAGTGTTATCACGCGGGCCATCTGGAGCGAGGAGGAGATCTCCAATGCGTGTAGGGGGTCCATCAAACCTCGACAACGTGATGAGTTTCTCCCTTAATGTAAGATCCTCTGAGAGGTCCTGGATTTCCTTTGGGTAAATTGGGACGGGCTTGAGTTTATTTATGGTCGGCCTATCTTTGTGAGCTTGGGCAGCATGATTGTCATCATTATCATCTCGGACTTACGCGCTAGGACGAGGCCGTGCAGCCAAGCCTCCTAACGGTGACTGTATGCCCACTTCGTCGGGTCGAGCTCGTCCAACTAAGCCTTCTGGCGGTGACGGTATGCCCACTGCGTCGGGTCGAGCTTGTGCAACCAAGCCTCTCGGTAGTGACGGTATGCCCACTTCATCGGGTCAAGCTCGTGCAATCAAGCATCCATGCGATGATTGTGTGCCTATCTCGTCGGATCGATCCCATGCAACCAAACCTCCTGGCGGTGATTGAATGTTCACGTCGCCAGGTCGAGCTTGTGCAACCAAGCCTCCCAACGACGACCATGCGGCCGCCTCACCAGGTCAAGCTCGTGAAGCCAAGCCTCCAGGCTATGACCTTACATCCACCTCACCAGGTTGAGTTCGTGCAAAGGGTACCCGATCTGCCGGTTGGTATTGGGGGTGTTTGGCAGGCTGAAGGCATTCGCGGATAGGGTGCATCTTGATGTGCTTCACGTAGTGGACTGCGTTGGGAGCCCATGTGTAGGTGTTGAACAGGCGGCAATGGCGGCACCATGTCAACGACGAGGACGATCGAAGTTAAGAAGACCTGCGAAGCAGACGAATAGTGGGAGCTTACGCGTGCGGCAGTAAAACTAGGGTTGGGTAATGTTTGAAAAAATACGTCCAAATATTTAAGAATTCAAAGAACAATGATCTTTGAAAAAATTAGGAATAGCTTCGAACTATTTAAAAATTAAGATAAGAGAAGGTAATGGGCCGGGAGTATTTATTTATTTATTGGGTCGGCTGGCCCGTTAGCATCGGTATTAGTTATTAAATTGGGCCAAGCCCACGTAGCGTTAGTCATTGGACTTGATGCACATAAATAGGCATCACCCCCATGTATTCACTACACTATTTTTACTATACTGAATTGCTGACGGTTTTTCTACTCAAGTTATTTTCTACCAACACAATGCTTCTTAGGCCTACACAAATATGTTATGCTACACTGTTATATTGCTACTTACTACTGATCATCATGAGACCATAACAGTATCGCTGAGATGCAAAGCAAGTATATTCTTTAACTTTTAAAATAGTTCAACCAGTTCCCTAACCCAACATAGCAGCACAATAATTACAAAAGAACTTGCAAAACATGTACCTTTCCATTCAAAGCCTTCAAAGCATTATGAGCATCGGTTTCAGATTCAAAGGTCACAAATCCAAATCCTTTGGGTCTCCGAGTTTTAGAGTCCACCAAAAGTCTCGCTTAATCAATTCAAAAAAACGAGCAATATAAGTTATGCACTCAAGATATTAATAATGAATTCATAATGAAATGGTCTAATCATGTAATCAGGGGCAAAAAACAAACATTACCTTCTTTAAGCTCGCCAAAAGGCAAAAATAAGGCCCTCAACTTCTCATTCGTTGTATAAAATGATAATCCTGTAGAAATACAATCAAGAACCCATTAGTAGTATGGTTTACTCAAATAATATTAGTAAAATACATGTGAAACATCAACATGAAATATTCAAATATGAATCATATTGGCATCGAATAGATCATTCTTGCATTGTCAAAATGGCAGCCATCGGCAGACACGGATGAGTGGCAGAAAACATACTACTTACGAAGAGCTGCAAAGGACGTCTGGCCATAACATACGCCTGCTTCTTCTTTGTAAAAAACGTGCAACTGACAAAAGATGCATAAAATGTCAATGCCCAATAAAAGTGATTGTGATATACATATTATAATTTACAAGGAAACAGTTGTTATTTCCTCAACTTCAGAACATGAAGTGCATAAGGTAAGAAAAGAGGATCATAATGGCACATTAAAAGCAAAAGAAGACCGGTCACAATTCTAACTTCTAATATACTACGTATAAACATATATATACACCCACACACTCTGTGGACATTGTTTTTTTAAAGTGGACATATTGGTTGTGTTGTTATCGTTATTATTATTATTGTTGTTGTTGTTGTTATGTGGATGTCATGTCAACGAAAATTATACATATCATCTACTTTATATTTGCAAATGCTCACCAGTTGACAACAGGTAAAAGCATCCAATTAATGTTTTTGAGGTGTTAATATGCTTAAGTGTAAGATTATATGGATTGTAACTTATACTTTAACAAGAGTAGACAACTAGACATAAATAGAAGAGGATGAAATACTAATTTCAAAGAAAAATATAAGAAAAATGGCTACGACTAAACTGGCTTCAGTTCCATCTTCTGATATTGGGTCTTCCCCCTTGAGAAGAAATAACAGAATCATCTGCAGTGAACGCAATCTATAATGCTATTAATGCAAACCTTTCCGAGCCACAGAAGGAAAATAGAAGATTGAAAAGGTTTCTCCTGTTTTCCTCCTTTATAGGTATTCCAAATCTTTACAACTGAGCCTCTGAGGTGTCAACTGGGATAGTGAAAGATGTATACATTTCTTCCTGGATTTGCATAATTATCTTTTAGTATGCTTATCTTTTGTTATAGTACATGTATAACTAGCTATTTTGCTTTTTAATTCAGGATTGAACCAATCGAGCTACCTGCCCAGGTTAATGGGTGTTTATGGACCTTTTCTTCGCAGTGGAAGATGTGTGTAAAGTCTAAACACTTTCAATTGGCCTCCAAAGATGTGTGTAAAGTCTAAAGCCTATGAATTTAATATGCCTTGCTAAGTTGATTACTAAATTTGGTTTTGATGTCCAAACTTGTTTAGTGCATGCTGTTTGAGGTATGAGCAAACGGCCAATTGCATAACCAGATGAAAAATGACTCTAAGAACCTGTTTGGTACCATCAAAATTGGCCGAATCAATTGAATATGTTGAATCTGGTGGGTTATGAAAAAAAGTCATTTATAATATATTTTTAAATAAATACATTATTTATGCTATAGGAAAAAATCAGAAGAAAAAAATAGCTAAAAAATTTTTTTGGCCCTCATAAAAATAACACAAACTACTTATTTTACTTATTACACAACTTAGCTTGCAAAAAAAGTTGATAAATATATTACAAATAAATATTTTATTTTTTTATTACACGGCTGATAAACATATGTGCTATAGTCGGGATCAGCCAAGGACATGTGCTATAGTCACCGGCTAGGCTTTAAATTTCCAATACCAATACCCGAAGCATCCACGCCCTCTAGTTTACAAAATCATTACAGGAGTACTCACAAGTACAATTTCTTCAAATAAAAAGTCGAAATATCCGTTTAATATCGCATGAAAAATGAGGATAAAACTACGAAATGGGTGATAGGATACCAGATTTCGTGGGAGAAGCAGAGGACGTCGAGCAAGAAGACGGCGTATTCTGCGGAGGCTCTTGCTGCTGTTTTCGGTGGCGACGAGGGAAAACAGCGAAATCCCAATATACTCGGCAGTAGAACAGAATCACGGCGGAATTGTCTCCCAAAATGTCCTCCGTACAATTTGTACCTACCAATATACTGGCTACAATTTAAGCGGGAAGAAGGGTATGACAGTGGCAGGATGTTGGACACGGCCCCCTAGGACCTAGGCCCGTCAATGGGTCGGGTTTAGATCCGGACCCGACCCAGTTATTTTGAACGGTATGTGTCCATTTTTAACTCCGTTTGGCCGGACTTGTTAGTATTTCTAATAAACGGGTCGGGTATGATACATATGATTCCGACTTGTTAAGGATCCGGACCTGTTTAAAATTTCTTATTTATATATACACACACAAATATACTCCCTCCGTATTTTAAAGTTTCATACACTTTCTATTTTGGGATGTATTTAAAAGTCTCATATATTTTCCCTTTTTGGTAAGTTTTTCCATTAAAAATACTCAATTACCCTTACTTTTTCTACTTTTATCCTCTTTTTCCTACTTCACCTTGTCTCCTACTTTTTCTACAATATTCATTACCCCTACTATGCTCTCTTAAATCTTGTACCATAACCTAATGTCGTATGGATCTTTTAAATACAGAGGTAGTATAAAGTGATTAGTTATAATACTTCAAATAAAAAAATACAAACTAATACACACACATACTAATACATAAAGTTATCAGTACAACAACAACAACAACAACAACAACAACAACAACAACAAAACACAAAAAAAAACATAAAGTTACTAGTTGTGATTCTTTAATTAAAAAGATACACACTAATACATACTTACTGTACAAGTGATACTGATCGAGATAGTGAGATTCTCTAAACCTAATACTTATTTTAACCGTTTATACATACTGATTAAGTGTGTATTGGGCTCGGTAGGCAAAGCCCAATATTTATTACCTATTATTATATCATTATCATATATAATATACTTTTATACGCTTAGTAGTTCAAGAGACATTTTTGTGGCATAATTTCTAGTCTAATATACGAGTTTTCTGTGCAAGATAAAGAGACACAGAGTGCGGTGTTATACGGCTCTACAAGAACTGATACCTTATTGAATAAAAGTACTAATTTTCTATGAGGAATCTTGATTTATTTTAAAATTGAAAATATATTTTGTTTTTAAGTTTGCACACTTTGCTTTACATTTCATATGCATGTCTTGTCATTTTCACAATATTTATAATGTTGTGCATGTCATTCTTGGCGGGTCTACCCGACCCATATCCTAGACCTGTTGGGTCTGAGTCCGGGTCCAAATTTTCAGACCCGTCGGGTATACAGGTCGGGTCTGGATCCTTTATTAACTTAGCGGGTCCGGGTATGGAACACTATGTCCCGATCCGAACCTGACCAATTGTCAGGCCTACGAGAACCCCACGAGTCCTCCGATAACGGCGACAAGTCTCGTATGAATGATAAGACCTACGGGTTGTATCGTACGAACGATAAACGAAATGAAATACGAACGGGGCTTACGAGCTGACAAATCAATTTATTATATAAATAATAAGGGGTAAGGCTAAAGGGTCAAATAGGCTCTCAAACTAACTTAAAAAGTGCAAATCACTCCTTATATAGGAGGCTCTGTCCGGCCATCGCCATTTGGAGCAGTTCCCGGTGGAATTTTTTGCTGAAATTTTTTGAGCATTTTCTTCATTAAGTATACCAAATTTGAGCTAAATATTCAATCGGGAAGGCAGAATTTCTGAAGATAACTACACAGTTAAACATCGCATTACATTTTAGAAAATCATTTGAATGTCTTCCAGGTTGAATTTTTATCTGAAATTTGGTATGGGTAAACTAGACTTAATGAAGAAGATGCTCAAAAAAATTCATCAAAAAAATCCACCGGGAACCGCCCCAAATGGCGACGGCCGGACAGAGCCTCCAATGTAAGTGGTGATTTGCACTTTTTATGTTAGTTCGAGTGTCTATTTGACCCTTTAGCCTAAGGGGTAAAGATGAATTATCATCTATATTATGTCATTGTACTTTTCAAATGCTTCAAGGTACTGACCTCTCCTTCACAGAGGAGGCCACTTCACAGTTTCTTGTAGAACTTAGAGCTTGCTACTAGTACCCGTTGCTCCAGGAGGATATTGGAGAGAAGATTTGGTCGTGCTTCCTCTGTTTTTTTGAGAGATGCTTCCTCCGTTTTTGTTTTCAAAACATTTATAATATTGTTCATGGATAATATTTTCTGATATACTATTTGGGGGGCTTGCATGCCTAAATGTGCTCATTGTGGCTTGAACACTTGTTATATTATTTTCGCTGCTTGAATGAATATTTTATATCATGTTTGTTTATGGATATATTATGTGTGAATGATGTTCATGATGCTTAGTATAGTACGAGTATGTTTGACTGTGGTTGACTAGTCGTACTGTACGGCGGTTGTTTACTGTGCATTGCCGTTTGGGTCACCATGTTTTTCCTATTACACAAAAAATTCTTTCATCCCTAGGTATTTCATCTAAGCATATTAATTATTAAGAATACTTCTTTATGTGTGTCATGCACAAATAATAAAAGTCATAAATCACAATTTACAAAGTTTTCTCTTTCTAGTACCGGCCCCTTGTGTTGGGTTTCGGGCAGAAAAACGCAGCGGAATAAACAAAATTTTTTCTACCCAAAAGTAAATGAACGGATCTGAGGTTCTTATTATAAACGAAATTACAAGAATTTAAGAGGGACTTACATAGCAATCTTAATCAAGGATGTCAGACAGTCCGAGAAAACGATCCCGAGCTCTACCGGTATCCACACGCACGTGACTGGATCGGCCGCAGGGAACGTGCTAGCGTTTTCTTCTTTCTTCCTCTCTACTCTAGGTTTAAGAAGTGAATTTTAACTCCTAAAATTCGTGGGTCTATATGTCCCTATTTATAAGAGGAGGAAAGAAGGGGTTTTATGGCTAATAAAACCCTTAAAGAGGCCCTAGCCCAATACCATTCGAAAACCTATTTCGAATTGGGCTAATCAAGCTATTTTAATGTTATTAACAAACATTAATGATCCAAATCACTTAGGTGTGTGACCCTGTAGGTTTATATTTTATTGGTAGTGGGCTAGAAATTAATTCGAGCTTCACAAATCATAAGCGGTCTCTAGCAAGGCATTATGACTATCCAAAATATATAAATGTCTATTAAATCTGACATAACCTTTTAATGATTAATTTGTGCTAACAATTCTCTTTTGTCAAACGATATCTTAATTGAGACAAGGTTAGGTCGTGTCATCCTTGTTATTCTCAATTAATATTTCTTGATTACCAAGTAAGATTAATCTTGATCAAATGACACCTCATTTGAGCATGGCCATGCTAATTAATCTTACTTGTCAAGGGGCCCAATAGATATCTTTCTCTCGATGTACAAGAGTGACAAAAACTATCTTGATAATTCACATACTACTACATGGTTCATAATATGTACAATCACCACCTTTGTAATTATCCAGTTAAAGATAACATTTAATGGTGTTAATACATATTAATTCTCATGCTAGTAACCATGATTATCTCAAGTATAAGAATATAGCACCTCATCATTATTGAGGACAACACTGATGACATATAACCTAGCAGTGTCCCCAAGTTGGGTCTGTCCAATGAACTTGTTCCCTAACAAGCATCTATGTTATTAACTTGATATCTCTATACCCATGACTAGTGGAATATAGCCATCAGTTAATCCACATACTGGTCTATTAATTATTAATGTCCCAAATTAATAATATTAGACCAGGGACAATTAGAATATTATGTTTATTTTAAAGTGTAGCATTCCACAATTAAGTCACATACTTAATTAGCTACTAAACAGAATATTCAGGGACTAAATATTAATAAATAAAACTCACAATAATAATTAACATAAAATGAGTTTGCAACTTTATTAATTAATGAGCATTAAATATTTATTGATAAATCATAAACTATGATTGTCCTAGGGCATATTTCCAACAGTCTCCCACTTGCACTAGGACCAATCGTGAACAAAACGAATGCCTAATGCACTAGTATGACGTTCATGCTTTGCTTGTGGTAGTGGCTTGGTGAGCGGGTCAGCCACATTTGAATCTGTCGGTACTTTGCATATCTTGACGTCACCTCTATTGACTATTTCTCTAATGAGAGGATAGCGTCTGAGTACATGCTTTGATTTCTGGTGCGATCTAGGTTCCTTGGCTTGTGCAATGGCTCCATTGTTATCACAATACAAGTCCATTAATCCAACAATGCTAGGAACCACACCGAGCTCAATGATGAATTTTCTTATCCATACCGCTTCTTTTGCTGCTTCTGAAGCAGCAATGTACTCAGCTTCTGTTGTAGAATCAGCCACCGTGCCTTGTTTAGAACTCTTCCAGCTCACTGCTCCGCCATTGAGGCAAAACACAAATCCTGACTGCGATCTAAAATCATCCTTATCGGATTGGAACCCAGCATCTGTGTAACCTTTTACAATGAGCTGATCTTCACCACCATAGACCAAGAATACATCCTTAGTTCTTCTCAAGTACTTTAGAATATTCTTGACTGCTATCCAGTGACTATCACCTGGATCTGACTGGTATCTACTAGTCATGCTTAGAGCGCAAGCTATATCAGGGCGAGTACATAACATAGCATACATGATAGAACCTATAGCAGAAGCATAAGGGACTCTATTCATCCGATCTCGCTCATCTTGTGTTTGTGGACACTGAGTCTTGCTGAGATATGTGCCATGTGACATAGGTAAGAATCCTCTCTTGGAATCTTGCATATTGAACCTATGCAGGACCTTGTCAATGTAGTTACTTTGACTTAGTCCTATTAGTTTTCTAGATCTATCTCTATAGATCTTGATCCCTAACACATAGGATGCATCACCCAAATCTTTCATTGAGAAACACTTTCCAAGCCAAGCCTTTACAGACGAAAGCATTGGAACATCATTCCCAATGAGAAGTATGTCATCTACATATAGGACTAGGAAAGTGATTGCACTCCCACTCAATTT